ACTACAGCTCAAGCACCATTTCATCAATTAAATAATATTAATATAATACAAAAAGAACTATTACTTACGCATAAGAACTCACCACAGTTCCCCTGTAAGCAATTTCTTTCCGTGAGGTGCGCGTAATACCCGCCATGCTTACATAAAAATAAAATCAAGTAGGAAAGCTCCGTGCGGGGAGGTAACTCTGCACGAACGTCAAAAATATTCTGATATGGTCACACTAAAATTTTCTACTGGTTGTGTTATAAGAACTACTTTTCTATGCACATAAAATTAAATCTTCAAATTTGACTTCAGTGCGTCGATGTCTGTTTCACTAAGGACTTTCGCAGAAAAGTTACCCTCCCATCACTATTGATTTGTTTGGCAAACTCTACGTAAATTTTTAACCAAATCGTCACCCTAAAGAAGTGAAAAAACGCATTAATTTTCAATTCGACTGTAAAACATTAACGTTTGAACTTTGAGATTCATTCAAATGTCGTCATCTTAACATTGTTAATGAGTGTATGACATGCTTTGATAGAGAGATATCTCAACAGAGACGGACGGATAGACGGACGAAGGGTAGCATGTCATGCCACCGACCACGAAAGAAGATTGCTGAAATAAAAAAATTAAATTCTTCAGGCGATTTTTCCAAATGACGAAAGAAAACAAACAATTACACGTCCATACGTATCATTGATCTTACTAGTGATGGAAATGAAATGAAAGATAGGTGCACGAATACATGTCCTTTTGGCCTCTCATTAATAGTTCGCTATATTGCATGAATGATAATTGTCTGGGGATATCGCCGAATTGTTACTGTTGTGCATATATGTATACCGTAGTGATTTTGTAAAGTTTATATGTGTGGTTTTGTTTTCTCTTAACAATGGTTCAAATTGTGGCGGATGTAACAAACAGCAGACATCTTTCATGGACCGGACTTTGGTTCTCTTTATTACCTGTATTTTCTTGCAAGTTTTCTTTTACCCTAGAAAGAAGCGCTTCCTCAAAAGTCGTGACAATTAGAAAATTCAGACTCCACTTTGATGTTAACCGTGTCAAAGTTTGGTATTTTAAACTAACAGAGAAAAGGTTTGTTATTTTTTTTATCTGAATGCTCAATATTATGCAGTTGGTAATGAGTTGCGATGCGGCTGTGTTACGAGATGCTGCTGTTATAATACTGTTCTATTGTTCCTACACACTGCATAGTATCTGTATTAATACGTCACAGATTCCCTGTTGTGTAATGATATGACGTAGAGACGGCGCTATAGTAACGGTGCATTACCAGGGCAAGTTTGAAAGATTCTACATTGGTGCTTGAGACAGTGCTGTCTTCCAGATGGTGTCACAATGTTGTATGTTTTAAAGTTCTCATATGTTTTGGCTATGATTGTACGTTTTTGTTTTTGGAATGCAATTAGTTGTTCAGGTGGTATTGTCAATATCTGCCCTTCAATTGTTTTATAAAAAAAATACCATTAGACGTTGGTGAAGGCTTCTTGGTTGAATTATAGGTAGGTTTATTTAGATTTTCAGTTATGTTTCCTTCCTCTCTAAGTTTGTAGTGTTTTTTTTTATGAATCTTGCACCTCGTCTTTGTTTGCGTTCTTTTTCAACATTTAGATGATTTAAATTTACCTATGCATTGTGATTTAGATTTGATATTGTATGTTAATAATGATCTTTCTTTTGAAACAAACTCGAAATTTTTTTTTAATGTCCAAAATTTTATTAAATCTAGTAATAGATTCACTTGACGTCATCCGCCTAAACTACCCCCTCAATCCTCTCTCTCTCTCTCTCTCTCTCTCTCTCTCTCTCTCTCTCTCTCTCTCTCTCTCTCTCTCTCTCTCTCTCTCTCTCTCTCTCTCTCTCTCTCTCTCTCTCTCTCTCTCTCTCTCTCTCTCTCTCTCTCTCTCTCTCTCTCTCTCTCTCTCTCTCTCTCTCTCTCTCTCTCTCTCTCTCTCTCTCTCTCTCTCTAAAATATGTAGTTAGTGTATTTGTTGCCATATGGCTATTTCGTTGTCTAATTATATTTTTTTTATATATTGGAGAAAGGGTGTTTCATAAGTTGTAATAACTTGTACCTAATCCTGTTGTAAGAATTTTTGCAATAAAATATGTTTAATTCAAATTATAATTTTGCTGTCTCTTTGGCTGGCCAGTTCTGAGCACACTGTACTGTTCCATAATAAACACTCTGATGTACATGTGAGAATACACATGTGTACACGATGTGTACTGTTTACATCTACATCTGTCACATGTTTTCCATCGTCACATGACGGACATACCAGTTTCTAAAAATAACTGATTACTAGAGTCCTTATATAGCCCGTCAAAGGGCGTCAAACGAACTGCAACAGGATCAACGAAACTAACAGGTATTTATAAAAGTAAGTTTATTGGATTGAACTGAAAAACAATGTTGTGACCATAATTTTAGAGTACAAAAAGATGTACTATACATTTACCAAGATAGAAGTCGTGTTAATTTTGAAGAGTCGTATAATTGTGAAAATTTCGATATATATTGAAATAAACATGATCAATATACGATGAATCCCAAACACAGTCTGGGCAGAAAGAAATTAATGTATATTTAATTCTATCGTTAAATCGACGGACGTAGATGTGAATAAATCTGAATAAAAATGAAACAGGTCGTTGTGGTTTCCTATTCAAACTAGGAAGTCAAACACTGTTTACGCTGTTTAAAATGGTCATGGTAAGTTGAAATGGGGTATATAGCTGTGTTGTGTAGGGCCAGTGTCAGTGTATTGTGTGTTGGGAGGGGGTTTAGTTTCAAAACAATTTCAGAGTGAAATCTAATTACGTTTTATTGAATTTTTTTCGTTCTATCAGGGAAATATTCTTTGAGTTTTTGAGATGTATCGTCCTGCTCAGCCAGCCGTGAACGTGACAGTAGTTCCCCCACCACAACCAGGGTACCCCGTCCCAAACGCACAGCCGCCATACCCACAGTCGTACCCACAACCGTATCCGCCACCACAGGCCTATCCCCAGCCTCCGGTAACGTATCCCGCTCAGCCACCCGTTGTGTATCCCGCGGGGTACGTCCAGCCACAACCGCCAGTCTTCGTCCCGGGACCCCCACCACCCCCAAGGATCGACATCCATCTAGGTCGCGGGCCAAGATTTGGACCTTTCCACCATCGTCACCATCATCACCGCCATCACCATGGTCACGGTCCCCACTGGTAACCGGAAGTCATATTGTGCCAAATTTCCAACAAAGTATATGATATTATATCCGTTTTAACGGGAATCAAGGAAATGACATGATACCTGAAGGAAGAGCAGACTTCATCTGTGTAGACTTATACACACTGTGTAATTGTATCACAAATCTTTGTCTATGTAAATGATCTCGCATGGAATGCAATATTGTGAAAAATAAACTTACAAAATTTAATGATCCGAAACATGATGTCGGTTAATATCGGTCATATCATACAAATCATGAACTTTGACCACAATCTAAGATCTGTTTATATCTTATACATGGACGGGTCAGAATAAAGGATGTCTCAAAGTCCGATTGCTAACAGTTACTGTCGCTACCTGTGAAGTAAATCAGGACTCGTACTTTTCTAGGACGGGTGGGATTGGATTGGAATGGGAATGTACATAGAATGTAGGGGTGTACATGAAAACATAACGAATATTAAGGCTGACGGGTTCAGTTAATAATATTATTACAAGTTTTTGATTACAGTTACATATCTTTATTAAAAATATTGAAAATAACATTTCATCATTTGTTGTTGAATAAATATGTTGAACAAAATAAAAAGTGATTGTGTTATAGTATGTACCTATAGTTGGTGAAGTAGTCTGTAGTCCACTGCATATTGATATAACAAAAGGGAGATATTGCCCTCAATAGGGAGACCCTGCCCTCAACAAGGAGACATAACCTTCAATAGGGAGACCCTGCCCTCAAAAACGAGATATTACCTCAAATAGGGAGACCCTGCCCTCAAAAACGAGATATTACCTCAAATAGGGAGACTCTGCCCTCAACAACGAGAGATTACCCTCAATAGGGAGACCCTGCCCTCAACAAGGAGGTATAGACCTCAATAGGGAGACCCTGTCCTCAACAAGGAGGTATTACCCTCAATATGGAGACTCTGTCCTCAACAAGGAGGTATAGACCTCAATTGGGAAACCCTGTACTCAACAAGGAGGTATAGCCCTCACTGGAGACCCTGTCCTTAACAAGGATATATTACCCTCAATAGGGAGACCCTGCTCTCAACAAAAAGATATTTCCCTCAATAGGGAGACCCTGCTCTCGACAAGGAGATGATTCTCTCAATATGGAGACCCTGCCCTCAACAAAGAGATGGTACCCTCAAAAGCGATATGTTACCCTCAAGAAGGGGGATTCTATCCTCAACATAGAGTCACAACAGGAAGATCGTGTGATTTTACTCAATAGGAAAATACAGATGCGAATTTCTATATGATTCAAGAACAGCGCGGGGACGTGTAGGTATGGCGTTAGGGGCAGCAAGAGGGAGTTTAATCGGGTGTTCAGTTTCATATTTACAGAATATCTACCAAATATGAACAAAGTTCTAATAGTTAACCCACAGTTACAGTAAACAGCATCGTGTAGTGTTCCTTTAGTACGTATACGTGTCCGTATGTTCATTTGTTGTCATCACTCTAGCGACTTCATTTCTCAAATAATTTTAATCAAACTTCACATATTAGGGTCACCGTTACTATCTTAGATACAGCACATCTTCATTATACATTGGGGCGAGGGAAATTTGTATCGTTTCCGATGTCTTGTTACATGCTTACGTCCTGAGAAAACACATATGACATCAATAAAACCAGGCACGAGTTGGATTATGGTCATGCTCACTGCACACATGCTTTCTGAATGTGTAACGTTTCACATTGAGTTATATATACATATATTGTATGTTACCCGTTATTGCGCTGCGTTTTTGTTCAAAATGAGCGCAACAGTACCCGCCATCCTTGAGAAGAAGAGTTTTGTAGTAGTCACAGGAGCCGGTCGAGGTCTTGGCCGAAGTATTGCTTCGAAGTTGGTGGAGAAACTTCCGACGTCATCATTTTTTGTGTTTCTATCCCCGCGCAATACAGGACAGGAAAGCCTTGCGTCGGAATTGTCTACATCACACCCAAGAGTGCAGATTCGAACCCAGGATTTTGACCAGGGTGAAATGAACCAGACTATTTTCGATGCCATTTTCATAGATATTTTAAGAAGGGATGGTTTAGAACCCAACGAATTCGATCAAACTATTCTGGTGCATAATAGTGCAATAGTTGGGGACGTTTCAAAGTGTACTTGGGACTTGACGGAAGTGACGTCATTGGTACGTCTATTTGACGTAAATCTCGTTGGTATGATACTCCTTAATTCATCATTTCTAAAAACTTTTTCGGAAGTCGCCAGCCGCGTTATCGTCAATGTGACGTCAGGAAATGCCATACGACCTTACAAAACCATGAGTACATACTGTACAGGTAATATATGATTAGTGTCAGTGTTATCGTCTTAGCCTCCACATAAATATACAGCTATTTCTACGGGATACTATGGGTAACGTCCCCTTAACGTTTATCGAGTCGTAGTCACGAGAGCCAAAAGGTAGAATAGGGCCAGTCATGGATGAAGGATTTTGTCAAATTACTATTGCAGACACACTCCCACCATCCACCCTTTCGTGTTTTTCTTATATGGTTTCCATAAAGACGTCTGTGGAGTCTACACTCATTTGCATATATGGTACACAGTTTCACTTTAAATTTAATGCAACTAATAAAACTAATAAAACCAACAAAAATAACGAATTACGTAGCAATTTTTTTCACGAAAAAAAAACTGAAATATGGTGAGATTTTGAAGCTACTGTGTTCATTTTCAATTATACTTATTTCTATGTGATACTATGGGTTATGTCCCTTTATCGTTTATTGAATCGTAGGCACGTGAGTGCACAGGTAGAATGGGGTCAGTCATGGATGAGTGATTTTATCAGATTTGGACTCGGAGATCCGTGCAGTCATGGTTATATAGTAACACGTCTACAAGTCCGTAATAATACAGTACATAACATGTCGGACTTATTTCGAATTTTAATCCGTGATAGAATAAATATCCATGTTCAAAATCATAAACAAAAAATAACCACCTTCAATGACTATTATAAAAATCAGAGTGCTACAATTCGGGTCAACAATATTTTATGAATAAAAACATAAAATACTAGCACGCTAACATAATTAAATCTTCTTTTAATCAAGTCTTGAAATTTGTCACGTAAATTCAGAAACGTATAACAGAGGGATTTTTTTCTTTTACTTTTCCTTGTTGTTTCAAATGCTAGAAAATGCAAGTTTGTATCTATTTTGATATCTGATTATTATGATTGTCTAGAAACGTGGTAATTATAAGGTATAAATTGATATTTTCTGTGTGATTATTGTATTACGGAACAGTTTGGATTGAAATACTGTATCAACTATAGTTAATTAGCGTTGCTGTCTTTATGTACCAAAAAACTCCAAATAATTTTTTTCAAAACAAACAGTACAGTAGAAATCTCAATTTTCAAATTGATCTCGCTAACTTTTGTGACAAATACTTTCTAGATTTTTTAAAACAAAGCTGATATGGCGACGTCGCTCTATTTACAATATAGTTGAAATTCACCCCCGTGCAGTTGAGTTGGTCGCTTATTCAAATATCACAAGAATACAGTAGTCATATTCTCGTCTAGGTAAACATGTATATAATACTTACTAGCTATTATATATTGGTCTTTCAATTTTTTTCAATACATAGTTTACATACAGTATCGTAACAGAATAACGTTTTCATATTTAAAAAAATGTTTATTGAAAATAAAAATGGATGTCAACGGATTGACAATGATGGTCAGTCGTATATGGAAACCTATCTGTGTCTTTTTATTTTTGCTTCATCAGGTTAGCATAACTCGTTATAATCAGCTAGTAACCGAGCCTCTGGTGGTCGCAAGGTAAAATGTGATAACGAAGGGAACATTTTCGTCTGTATCATTTGACCACATGCATTGTCCTGTTATGAAGTTCATTACAGTGTGCTAGCACTATAAAGTCAGCTAAGTTCGGCTCAATTACAAGCGGCCTTATAACAAGATAATCGTAGTCTCCCACAAACACAACATACATTCAACACACATTGCGTCTATACCGCAGTCTTCTTAAATGACATTAAGTGTTGACAGGACGTTAGAAAATTTAACTTAAACTATTACACATTGTATCTAAAGCGGAATGTCGACCAATTGATGTTTCCACGATGTACTGTGGTAGATCGACCACCCGTCTGCGAAACAAGAGGTCACTAGTTCGAGACATATATTCCCCTCTGTAACACACAGTTACAGAATTGCATCTGTTCCAGTTAGGAACTTTTCGAGCTTACAATTACAATCAATATTTTTGTTGTTGTTTTTAAGCCAAAGCTGCACGTGACATGTTTTTCCGTGTGCTGGCGTCAGAAGACCCGACTATCCGAGTCCTCACTTACTCGCCTGGCCATGTTGATACCGACATGTTGAAATACGTACGTGACAACACAGTTGACAAGGAGCTCTCCGAGAAGATTAAAGGTACATTTGTACATGTAGATAAATCAGGATTTGTTTTTACGAGAGGAAAATGTATAATCGGCTACTGTACCTGAACTTCCTTGTAAGTATCTAAGTCCGTGACCAGATTTATCTAATAAATTGTTTGATCATTATTTCCTTAATGTTGTCCTAAGTGTCAGGTCTGTCCTAAGTGTAAGTCTGTCCTAATTGTCAGGTCTGTCCTAAGTGTAAGTCTGTCCTAATTGTCAGGTTTGTCCTAAGTGTAAATCTGTCATAATTGTCGGGTCTGTTCAAAGTGTCAAGGCTGTCCTACATGTCAAGTCAGTCCTAATTGTCAGGTCTGTCTTAAGTGTAAGTCTGTCCTAATTGTATGTCTGTCCTAATTGTCAGGTCTGTCCTAAGTGTAAGTCTGTCCTAATTGTCAGGTCTGTCCTAAGTGTAAGTCTGTGTCCTAAGTGTCAAATCTGTCTTAAGTGTCAAATCTGTCCTATATGTCAAGTCTGTCCTATGTGTCTAGTCTGTCCTATGTGTCTACCTATGTGTCTAGCCTGTCCTATGTGTTTAGCCTGTCCTATGTGTCTACCCATGTGTCTAGTCTGTCCTATGTGTCTACCTATGTGTCTAGTCTGTCCTATGTGTCTAGTCTGTCTTAAGTGTCAAAAACAAGTCTGTCTAAAATGCCAAATGTGGCTTGTCACGTCCTTATGAATGATCTAAAAAACTCCATTGAGAAGACCACCTCACCTACCATCAACTTATATCTCCTCACTTTAATGGGACTAGTTTTTGTCAAATACACCATGGAAAAACTGAGTGCAGTTCCTTAAATTCTATTTGTACCATGAGTATCTAATTCACGATGAATAAATGCATTTCATTCCGCAATGACACATCTGCGCAACGTATGACATTCTTTTGTCAGTTATTCCCAACCCTTTCGAAAGATATCAAAACTGTTTACAAGAAGAATGGCCTTGCTTTTGATATTGATTTCGAATAAGGACATGCTATTAAATATCATGTTGCTAATTATAATAACTTTTTCTTTTCAGTGGCATATACAGAGGGCCGAGTGCAGAGTTGTGACAGTTCCGCAGAGAAATTAATCGCCATCTTGGAAAAGAACACATTTGAAAATGCTTCTTACGTTGCATTTACTGACCCTTTGTGATGACGTCACTGCCTCGAGGAGGAATGTAAAGATAACCACAGGCTTTGTTAATTCCAAGCGTTTTCTCAATTAATGAGTGATTTCTCGTGTCGCACATTCATACAGTAGAAACGTTATTCTGACCTCATGCTGTGATGACAATACTAGTGTTTTAATGTAGTATATACCAATTGATGCTCTATAACAATACAAATTTATATACTTGTTCTTTATAATTTTCTTATGTCAACAGAAGTCTGCCAGATTTAGAGGAAGTGTTTTCAGGACTTCAATACACTGAGCAAGATTAAAACAACTCCTACTTCTTTGTATGGTTTTCTAATGAAATAAAAATTAAACAAAAGTCAAATTTTTCGGAAATAGCTTTCGTCTGAAGAACTATTTGCAAACACGACTTTTTCGATGGACTTGTGCAGATGATCAAAAATAACATTACAATCAAACATGTCTGATGCAGAATATTATATGGAAACCAGACACTGTTCACCTCTTATGGGAATTCCTTGTTCACAACATTCCAGTGATTCTAAATTCAAGATTACTTTCTTTAAGATAATCTCAGATGGACAGCCAGCCAGTAAAACCATCAAATAGAAATCGGGCTTCAGGATCATTCTACAGCAGAAACTTCCTGTAGATCATTAAATTATTTGAATTCTGAGGGGCATCTCCATAAAACGGTATATTTTTCGATATCGTAAAGAGATTCTATCCTGAACAGAGATTTTTATCCTCTTAAGCAGACCCTACCCTCAAGAAGAGATTTTACCCTCAACAGAAGATCCTCCCCTCATTAAAGAAATTGTACCATCAACAAATCCTCCCCTCAACAGATAGATCCTTCCTTGATGTTGTCAGAACTAAAATATTACAGCTAGGTAAAATTGTATGAAGTATAATGTATGATCTTAGACAATCCACAAGAATACAATCTACATACTGGGACTTTTTGCTTTAGCAGGTAAACCAGTTTGTTTCAGATTTCAAACCAAACATTTCTAACACAACTCGGGGAAAAAATGCTAACATATGTAAGTACAGGCAGCAGAAATTGAAGAAAAGACACAGAGTAAATAGCACCTTTCAATACCAATTTAGAATAAGAAACAGTAGAGCCAAATAGTGAATTAACTACATCATACAGCTGTTTCGTCCTTCTAGGACTCGTCAGTGATGCTACATCATACAACTGTTTCGTCCTACTAGGACTCGTCAGTGATGCTACATCATACAGCTGTTTCGTCCTTCTAGGACTCGTCAGTGATGCTACATCATACAACTGTTTCGTCCTGATAGGACTCGTCAGTGATGCTACATCATACAGCTGTTTCGTCCTTCTAGGACTCGTCAGTGATGCTACATCATACAACTGTTTCGTCCTACTAGGACTCGTCAGTGATGCTACATCACACAGCTGTTTCGTCCTTCTAGGACTCGTCAGTGATGCTACATGATACAACTGTTTCGTCCTACTAGGACTCGTCAGTGATGCTACATCATACAGCTGTTTCGTCCTTCTAGGACTCGTCAGTGATGCTACATCATACAGCTGTTCTAGGACTCGTCAGTGATGCTACATCATACAGCTGTTTCGTCCTTCTAGGACTCGTCGGTGATGTTACATCATACAACTGTTTCGTCCTTCTAGGACTCGTCAGTGATGCTACATCATACAATTGTTTCATCCTACTAGGACTCGTCTGTGATGCTACATCATACAACTGTTTCGTCCTACTAGGACTCGTCAGTGATGCTACATCATACAGCTGTTTCGTCCTTCTAGAACTCGTTGGTGACGCTATTCAAGAGCCTAATTATTAAAAGGCTTGAGGGCTCTGTTGGCTGAAAGTTGATTGAAAGCGATGGAAATGTTAAAATTCAGATGGAAAGGTGCACTTGCCACATAATTCAATAAGTTTCATATGTATCTGGAAATTACAAAAGAACCTCTAATACATGTACGTATTCTAAACTGTGCTACTATTCAAATGACTTAAAACAATGGGGACCCAAAGTCCACCTGCAGTGTCTACCACCTACAAAGGTGTTTCTATCGAGAGATAATGGCGTTTGTCAGATTTTGTCAAATATTAAAATCACATGGAGACCAGAGTATTTACATAACAGGTGCCAGTTTTCTCCTAAAACCAAGACACATGGTATGATTTTAATAATAATAATATTAAAAAAACTTATTATTTGTTAAAAATAGTTTAATGTATACATAAAATATCTTACAAATTACATTTACATTCAGTTAGTAAACATAGCTGTCTCATTGTTAAACCAAATGCAATCTCAATATCAAAAATAATAGCACAAGATTTACTAATTGTTCCATAACACGGAATTTGTTAAACATAGTCACTAGCTATTAACTAACATATATGAAAAAGTTTCTTGTATCAAGTAATTTATAAATCAATGTCAGTTCAAAGTGGATGGGTTGATAGGTGAGGCATACTGAGTATGGACTTGGAAGGAGGTATGCTGGAAAAAGAAATTGATATAAAAATACTAGAAATAGTGTTTATCACTAAAGTTTCACTATTTGGCTGTTTCTTTGACTGCTAAACCTGTTTCTTCATCTAAACAACCTTGTTACTGTACTTTTTGGTCACATTTTATTTCTGTTTTCACCTTTTTACATGGAACATTTTCTCTCGTTCATCGTTCTAAACACTCTGACATAACAGAATTTTCATCACGACACATTTTGGTTCAAATGATTTTGTATACAATAAAAATAAAATTTACCCTCAAGATGAGGAGCCCCAGTGAACTTAATTTATACGCTTGTAATATTTCACATACCATAACAAAATACTGTCGTATATAATTGAGAAATCTGGAACTCAAGGGGCCTTAAACAGGGCCTCTTATACCTAAATCCTTTGATTGTAAAACTGAACTGTATTACAAATAAGGCTGAATTGTATTTCAAATAAAGCTAGAGTTTTTCATGAAGTTGGAATACTTAGTAATTGAAATATTAAATTTGTACAAGTCATATACTACATTAAATTTTTAAGTTTTAAACTAAACAAGTACAATTGATAATGCAACATAAAAAACTGATCATTTTGAACAAGATCACTATCGCTAATGACTGATTGTGTTTAATCATAAGTCTAGTTTCCCAGATACCCACATATTGTTATCAAATAAAATAAAACATCAAATATGTGCATATTTGTACATGTATATAATTGCTGGAGAAATAAATGTTTTAATTGCAGCAGATATAATCGGTAGTTAAGTTATTTGATTTCTAAGTTATATACTTGTAGGAAAATTTTGATTGTTTATAGAAAATTTGACCTAAAATCCCTGTTAAGGACTAAACATGACATTCGGTAATTATGTCATCCTAATGACCGAAAGGTTGTAGGTTTGACCCATATATAGCTGTGTCATAGTATCCTGATGGGTTCTAATCTACAAAGCTGTATAAATAGGTATCAGCATATGCTTCCCTCAGAAACACTAACTTATAATATTGTAAAGTTAGGACATACAAAGTTTTTTGTTTAAGGACATATCTTTGATTGGTATCCAAAATATATTTGTAGAAGACAGCACAAAATAAAAAAGTGACACTAGCCAAACTAAATAAGACACCATATTGCTTCCAGAAAACATTGCTGAATATATTCATCAATATCATACAACTCACCAAGTTGTAAAAATATAGGCACTTCAAAATAACCTCTACAACCTCATAATACATTTATGTGTAAAAAAATATCCTGCAGAAGTTTGACCTGATCAACAGCGAGTCGTGTCGTGTGAAATTCTGTACATATATTTACAATCTGATTCAAGTTAAACATTTCTTAAAATTTTTTTCTCTCTCTTTCTTTTCCCCTCATAAGAAAATATTACAGAATTTTTTTATTATTCTCTGCATTTCAATAATATTTTCCAGTGGACAGACTGATGAGGACTGGTTGGCTGTTTACAGGTTTTTTGACTTTGTGGCTCTTTCGAGGGCTAGGTGTTATCTCACCGACCGTCCATGTTGGCAGTATTGGTGAAGACAGATTTATCACTGATATCTGGTAAGGCTGGGTAACTTGATAAACAAGAGTATCAGTGAAACTGATGAATGCTCCCCAAAAACAACTTCATTGGCACAAAATCTAATCAAAGGGCAATAATTCTGTAATTAAGAATTTGTAGGCCATGAAATCAAATCTCCCCAAAAACAACTTCATTGGCACAAAATCTAATCAAAGGGCAATAATTCTGTAATTAAGAATTTGTAGGCCATGAAATCAAATTTCAATAACTCCTAAATCATGGAAAAGAGAGTTATGGTTCTTGTACACTGCATTTCTCATTACCGAGATCTATCTACTTGTCAAGTTTAATGTTGATACCTCTTATAGTTTTTGTGATATGCTCCAGACAAAATTATGATGGAGGACAAAGCAGTGACTATATGACTGACTATTTCTCTGTGTATCATTGTTACCAAATATTAACTGAAGTAAAGACAAATAAAATGCTTTAAGTAATGATCACTGAATGATTATTTAAACAAAGATGTCGGCTCATACTGGTTAGTTTAGATTAATGGAAGCTTGCCGTCTAAATCTTCTAAAATTGATCCTAAACAAATTGGGGCAGGTGTGAACTCACCATCCTTTTTTTTTTTTAACTCATTTGGTTGATTCAACAAAAAATGTATGAATGCCACAATAGCATTCAGCTACTGGCTAAGCAAGGAATATGAGAATATGAGATTTTGACCTCAGAACTTGAATAAGGAAAAGATCTTGTCAGCACAGAAAACTATGTTTGATAGTTTCTCGTGTCACAGAACTTGAATCAAAATGCATGAGAGGGCACCATTTTGAAATCTCAAACCTCCATATCAATAAAACTTTATCATAATAATTACTTACATGCATAGTATATAGTCCTCTTAATGGGATGACTCCTAATGATATATGTTATGAAATTTATTACCATATCACAGACAAATATTAGTACTTATATATACACTGTTTTCAGAATTCAACACAAGCACATGTTTCTATCTTACAATCGCGGCTAGATATCTGAGCTCGTTACCATGACATTTAAACTGAGAAGAACATCGTTATCAAAATATGAGTACCACAATACTTTTTTGTAATATATTCATGATTTCAATACAAGCTACAAGTTTATAAGAGTAACAAATAAAACGTAAACATAATCTGTACACAAAAATACACAAAAATAACAAACAAAATCAAAATCAGTTGATTTGGAATATTTCAATAAATAAATATGACTTAATTTGCTACCCAAACTTAAAACATACCACAGCCTTTGTGTAATAATTTGTCCTGATAGTAATATTCTCTGTTAGCTAGCTCCAAGTTCTTAAAAAAATTTAAAGAAAAAAATGACTCTTTTAAGTGGCATGTACACTTGAGGTTAAAGGTCACTTTTCTTTCATAAGAACAGAAGATATATGCAATCTCAAAAAATTCCTAAATTCTCTGTTAGATAATGCTTGTATGTTGACTTCCATTGAATGGAGATCTGAGGACACATATTAGACATCTAAAGCTGACATGTCCCCTTTCTTTGTCCTAGAGACATAAGGGTACATGTCCCCTTTCTATGTCCTAGAGACTTAAGGGTACATGTCCCCTTTCTATGTCCTAGAGACTTAAGGGTACATGTCCCCTTTCTATGTTCTAGAGACTTAAGGGTATATGTCACCTTTCTGTGACTTAGAAACTTAAGGATACATGTCACCTGCTATGACCTTGACTTTAGGATGAATGCTGCTTTACAATGGAGACTTGTAAGCCCCATATTTTTAAGGATATTAGTCTATGACAGGGCCAGATCTCATCATTTTCCTTGCTGGTACAATACTCGATACCAAAAGCATGGCAGATACATTTGTTTCATTGATTACTATTTAACACTCCAAGGGAGATAATCCTAATGCTCCTAGACCAACAGTAGCATATAGCTATCATTGTATTACACCTTCCAAGTAAAATCACAAATATTGTAATACAATGATGTATGAAGATATATTCTCTGTCTCAGTGATGAAACACTCATGGGAAATATAACTTGGAACTCCGAGAGATATATTCTCTGTCTCAGTGATGAAACACTCATGGGAAATATAACTTGGAACGCTGAGGGAATGTTTTGGACAGAAGAGGCTGAGGGAATCTTTCCAGCTTGTATCATCGACCAAAGTCTTTTAATAAATTTTCTAATTGTCTTGAACTTGCCTCCTGCAATGAAAAAACAAGATAATTTTGTGAAATATACAAGTAGTGTGTTGATAAAATATGGCCTGTTTTAGTCACAGATGTATAAATCTATAAATAGACCTTGTCTATATATTTAGTGGTCACAAGAGGTAAGCTCGCGAAATAAAGTCTTCACGAAATTGAAGTGATTTACAGTACATACAGTAACATTTATTTATGGTGTCTAACATTCCATCAGAAGGGGATAATTAACAATACCTATATCATTTCTAACATTCAGTCTGAAGATATCAATACCTACATTGTAGTTTTACCGACAATTTTTTTTTCAATTCTATAGGAAAGAAGGTCCTTTCAATGAAGATATCAAAAATTTAAAATCTATAAACTCTGTGGTTCACCTTGTATTTTTCATGTTTCATTTCTATATATTTGGCGTGATCCTTCTGTTTTTGGACTTCTCGCTGTAGCCGAGCCATCTCTTCTCTCACTTCGCTGTCTGCCATAGTGCTGTAATCAGCCAGCTGACTAATAGTGTGGCGACTTGCCTGAAAAATTTCCAAAATTTTTATCATTAACAATATTAATTTTCAATAAAAGCTAGATATAAAATAAAAATCAGTACGGAATAGTCGGTTACATTAAGTATGGTTCATTATACACTTACATATTTTGTGCTTGACTACATCAATCAAAAGTAATAATGAAGTGAAAGAATTAGAAACTGGTGACAGCATATCAAGATCGAAACACTGAACATGTCTTCAATTTGGTGCAAATGTAAAAATGACAGTTTTAGGTGTTGTGTGGAACCAAACCTGTACAAAAATATTCAAGAGCCCAAGCTGTTTAACGCAAGATGTCATTTAAATGATTTAACTCCTTGACATTTCAATCTTCTGATCTAAATAGCTGTTTCATGCAACTATGAAGTTTACATAAGTCTGATGGGCTCAAAGAAACACTAGTTATTTTAAATCTGATTTTCTAGTTTCACCTTTGACCTTCCTCTGTAAAGTAATCTCAAGCAATTTCAAGATTTAAGAATGAAGGACTGTATGAAATTTGCATTTGATCACACAAACACAGATATCATATGGAAATATCTGTTCCTAGTTATATTGGTAGAATTTTTTTTTAATAGAATTATATTTTCACTGTTTTTTTTAAGGAAAGCAGGGAATCGTAAAATATCAATACATTGAATATTCATATTACAAATATTTTGCAAAACATTAATTTCTCATTTTCAATTGCTATAATCATTTCTGCTAAAAATTGCTATGAATTGGAACTAAGAAAAATAAAAATTGTATGTAACTACTTAATAATGCCACTCAGAAGCTCGAAAGAAAGAAATTTATGACATTTTAAAAACATGACCTCGCATTATCTGGCTCTTACAAAAACAGCAAAGATAGCAGTTTGTTATATATGCCAAGAACCTATAACCACAACTTAATAAAAGACAAATGCAGAAATCCGGCTGAAAGTCATAGACCACGATTTGGTGTTAATGATAGCCATAGCAACAAATATCGTATCTAGCATGTTAGTAGGCAAAAAGGTCTAACATTATATCAAGCTGAAAACAAAATCTACTTAATGAATGGCTTAACTTCTCTACATATACAAATAAAACAAAAATAATACCTAGCTGATCATGAACTGATCACAAAATTATCTCATTTTCATACAGCATCAATATAGGACCTCATTTATATACAGGATCAGCAAGGGACCTCATTTACATACAGGATCAGCAAAGGACCTCATTTACATACAACATCAACATAGGACTTCATTTACATACAACATCAACATAGGATCACATTTACATACAACATCAACACAGGACCACATTTACATACAACATCAACACAGGACCTCATTTACATAATGCATCAACATAGGCCATCATTTACATACAGGATCAGCAAAGGACCTCATTTACATACAGGATCAGCAAAGGACCTCATTTACATACAACATCAACATAGGACCTCATTTACATACAAAATCAACATAGGACCTCATTTACATAATGTATCAACATAGGACATCATTTACATACAGCATCAATACAGAACCTCATTTACATACAGCATCAGCAAAGGACCTCATTTACATACAGGATCAGCAAAGGACCTCATTTACATACAACATCAACATAGGACCTCATTTACATACAAAATCAACATAGGACCTCATTTACATAATGTATCAACATAGGACATCATTTACATACAGCATCAATACAGAACCTCATTTACATACAGCATCAGCAAAGGACCTCATTTACATACAGCATCAATACAGGACATCATTTACATACAGGATCAGCAAAGGACCTCATTTACAAACAGCATCAGCAAAGGACCTCATTTACATACAACATCGCACAGGACCTTATTTACATGCAGTATCAACACACGTCCTCATTTGCATTAAAGACATATAAGGGCTAGAGAACATCATTTTTTGTTTACACAACAGTTACCAACTGCCTTCTACAGCTAATTGTACCAATGTGTTACTACAAATTTATGCTACAACAGGGTGAATATATGATTTTAAAAAATCTCTTTACAAGTAAGACATTTTCCATGAAATTTACAGATTAGCTGATATCACTTTTACATTGCTTTCTGTCCTCATAATAAATCGCTCATCACATCAATGGTTTTTTTCTATCAAAGTTTTCATGTCATGCATGTGCAAGTGCTTAAAATCATTCCATTGTGGAGAAACTTGAATGATCAGGTGGAAAATCAGGAAAGTGGAGAGTTGTATTATGGCAGAATGGTGTTTGGTTCAATAAAAATCCATTCAAAACATTTTTTGCCACATTTCAAGGATTGAATGAAGAATATTAATTTGTAGTTGAATATTATCGTGAAAAGGATGCATTGAGGATTTTTCTGTGTAAAGTTAAAATGTCATTACGTGGTGTTGTTTTCAATGTTCAATCATTAATAAGACATATCAGGCCTTATCGTGTTGATGTGAAATGAACGAGGGATTTCAATTCCATAATAAGGAAACATTCCTGTGAAGGCACATGCATTGTGTGTGATTGAAATGAGAATGAAAGATGAGATGAGAGATGAGAACGACAGATGAGATGAGAGGTGAGAACATGCTGATCTAAGGTATATACCCCCTTCTTGGCTTTCCTTTCTTCCATTAAAGCTTCCATGGCCTTCATTTAGGAAAAAAAGTATGGACATGATTTTATATTAGTCATTTTGTAAACTGCAACAATCCTGTACAAGCATTGATGTAGGGTGGTACATATTCTGATTATACAGGCCCCCAACACATTACTTTGACCTCAGGGGTGGGCCTATTACAGAATAATGAAATGACATTTGTTAGGAGTTCTATTGAACAAATATGGATGGGCCTTATTTTTCAGGCACATGCTTATTAGTGCAGGCAAACTTTATGTCGGAGCATTATCAAAGGGAAATAACTCTCAAGAAAATCATCAAAATGGAAAATAAATTTTAAATGTACAACTACCTTTACAAAGATAAAGAAGGAAATCAATTTTTCCATGAGGCCAGAATTATTCAAATAAATGTTGAACAAAAACCCATCCCAGGACTTAAAATATCTTTATTGTAATTATAACACATATGTACATATCTGTGATAACCATTAATGATAATTTATACCACAAGATGTCAACAAGTCCAAACTGTTTTCCAAAGACAGACACATTGTCCTAACAAATACGAGTTTTTAGACGGGATGAATTTAGGAAAATAAAATGAATATGATGAAATTGTTAAAAAAAAATTCCAAAAATTGAAAATCTCTGTTCGGGCTTTGGTTCTGGGCTGATAGGGTTTTGGAACATGATCCATAAACATATATATTAATTATGGCCTCAAAAACTCAGAAATTATATATAGAGAAGATAGATATATTATATATATATATAGAGAGAGAGAAGTATGTAGTCTTCGTTTCGTGAGGTTCTGATTGAGATACCCACCCGGATCATCTCCTTCGCTCGTTCTGCAGCTTGCTGGGCTTTCAGTTGTTCGGACTCTAGTTGCTTTTTTTGATCCCGGTTTTCTTCTTCGAGGTCAGACTGTGTTTTTCTGATATGAAATTAGTACATGTACACATAATTAGGTACTGTGATTAAAGATATTTCGTGGCCTGGAACTAAGTAATAAATATAACTAAGTTGTAAATTCTAGGGCACGAATATGGTAACCTTCCAGATATTTTTCATGGGGTATAACTACAGGGTTTACTTTCATAGATATTTCATGAGTGTTTTCAGGGGAAAATATCCGATAGTTTTATTGGGCACAAATGTATTTTTATTTAATTATCTATTTATCTATTAACTTATTTATCTTTAATTGAATTATTTTTTATTAAAAGATTCTCATTGGATCAATTAATGAAAGTTTGGAGTGACAAAGTTCATGGTTCTGATGATAAACACACAACAGCTATATTTGTAGATGTTTTTGTCCAGATCAGAAGTAGAGATATTAACATTGTATACAAAGGATCTGACAAATTTGTCTTCAGTACTTACTTTGAGGATAAAATTTCATCTTGAAGTTTGTTGAATTTGGACCTAAACCAATTATGAGCATCAGACAGATGTATTGATATCTGAAACAGAAAAGATAATGATAAATTTAAATAGAAAATGTACTTAAACTCATCATCACTCATCATATATAACATATTCTTGTTACACAATTTACAACAGAAATCTAGCATCTTTTGAAACCTCTGAAATGTTAAATTAAACTATGTATTAAACAACAATTCAGTTGAATTTGATAATATAACAGATTTAAATGACAAAAGGAGAGGCCAGTATATTCTAAATAGATAATCCAAGTTATGATTCATACCTCTGCAGATTCATCCTGTGCCATTTTTAGTCGTTCCTCTGCCTGTTTTCTCATTCTCTCGATCTCTTCCTTCTGTCGCTTTGTCTCCTATAGATAACAGTCACATGGGTATGGAGGACGTAATTAATGATGATGATGATGATGATGATGATGATGATGAGGATGATGATGATGATGATGATGATGAATGTTATTATGATTGTTGGTGATGAGGATGACGACGATAATGATAACAGTGATGACAATAATGATGATGACGACAACAACAATAACGACAATGATGACAGCGGCAATGAAGGTGACAATGAAAAACCAATGTAATTCCAAATATATACAAGCATAATTATTGTCCTTTCTGAGTAATTTTTCACCAAACTTCTTTCATATGACAATATAAATCAATAAATAAAATGTAATAGTTACACACCCTTGCTAAAACACCACACAAGATGGGACTGTAGAGTAGGGTTCACTGATCCGTGACTTTAATATACAAATATCAGTATCCTTGTCAGACAAAATAAAAATGCCAGCAAGACACGAATACACTAGTCTAGGATTGAGGTTAAGGCAGAAACACAAATGTAAGTATCAAAACATTGAACAAATACACTACACACAAAATAGAATTCTCTCCATCCCTCATACAACATTATTAACCTTAGCCTGTTAATCAAATCTATTACAAACAACATAAAGATGGATAACAAAGTCAAAACATGAAAATGATATATTTCAGAAATATTAAATTTTGAAGACTTTCTTCTAGACAAATTAAAAATCCAAATATATAGAATTATTTTACAAGTATCAAGGTAGTGTAATCTTTTTTTAATTTTCAATTTAGCGTATGATTGTAATCATGTTTCTCTGCCTTAATGACCAGAAGAAAAAAATATATAAATAGTTACAGTTACTTAATATCATTCTTCAGTTGATAAGTCAATTTTGTTCCATTCTAATAAAGCTATCATTAAAACTAAGCATTTTCCTGTGTGTGAAAATCATGTTCATAAAAACAATACTGGTCACGGCACCAATTTTCCTTTTACCATATATGTCTTTTTCTGTATTAGGACTTCAGAATCCATCTTACCACATCTAAGAGAATGTTAAAGACTGACAAGGCCTTACCGGAGGTTTGCTACTGTGTACCTTGTACTTGCGGCGGGAGTCTTCCTTGTAGAGCCTCTCTTTCTCCAGAGCCTCCTCTCGTTGGTTGATTAAACTACTGGTTTGTGACTGTGCTTGGGCGAGGTTTCTCAGCTCCGATTGGAGGCAGGCAATCTGGTTCATAAATGTGTTGATCATCTCACCCTGTAAAAGATGTGTTTAGTCTTGTGTACATGGCAGTGTAAACATGATCAATCCCCAGAAGCCACAAAAAAAGGTCCTGGCAAGTTTAAGCAGTAGCACTAGATATCTCTAACAATTTTCTTCTGGTTACAGCCATATGACAGTACAATGTTACCACCTAATTTACCAACTTGACCTGTGTCCACATAATCTTTTTGAACATCTAGAGGAACATCTATTCAATCACAGACACTTCATGATTTACAGATATGAATTAAGCAAAACAAAAAGCTTGAATCTAGATGTCACTCTTAAAAATCTTTTTTTTTTTACTCAAACTCTCAACTCCATAGAAAGTGAGAACACCATCGACAGTGAGAATGCTACAGACAGGAAGAACTCCAGACAGGGAGAATGCTATAGACAGGTAGAACTCCAGACAAGGAGAAGGCTACAGACAGGTAGAACTCCAGACAGGGAGAAGGCCAAAGACAGTGAGAATGTCACAGACAAGGAAAATACTACAGATAGGGTTAAAACCATTGACAGGTAGAACTCCTCAGACAGGGAGAAGGCTACAGACAGTCAGAATGTCACTTACAGGGAGAACACTCATCCATCATTCTTCCATTTCATAGATAGGCACAGAAGATTGAGCTAATGTAATTTTTTTTAAAAGTGAATCTTTCCAACAAGTATTTATCTGGTCATGTCAGTCTGTCACTAATCCACACGGACCAGAAGAAATATTAACAGATATTTATCTGTACTAGTACTCCAATTAGATATAATGGTAAAACATTTTACTCTCAACATATATCTCAATATCTATCATATCCTTCTTACTTGGTCGTGATTCCTTTTCATGTACTCGTCCCTCAATCTTTCTAAATCTTCTATCTCTGACCGCATTTCCTGTAAAATAAACATATTGAACCGTCACAGGTTTCTTCTATACACAAAATATCTACATCTCCTGTAAAATAACACATTAAACTGCCAGTCACTCGAGTAACAGAATATTGGTCAGCTATTACAACATTTCTAAATGAGAATCTGACTTTGAGCTTCTAACTAACTATTGATTACACTACAGACCTTACTACCTATGATTTACATTATCGGCCTGTCTACCTTTAGTGTTCTCAATATGATTTCACCTTTTTTGAATTCTGTATTTGAAAACAAACCCTACCTTGACTTTGTCCACATTGTCTTCCAGATCCCGTTTAGATCGGTAAAGATAATCGTTTTTACGTTTCTGGTCTGCCACCTTCTCCTTCAGATCCTTAACCATGCTTTCATTCTCTGTAACTTTGTGTCGTAGCTCTGTGTTGGTCTTCACAAGTTCCATATTTCTGTTCTGTAAATTGTCATTCTGTTTTTTTATCTGAAATAGAACAGAGGACATTTGTTTCCTTTCAAATCAAAATACCATCCCCCAAAAATATAATTTTTACTGTCTTTTTTAGATGAAACATCTGTGAAAATTTACCTGTATGTTGTAATCAATCACAGGTATGCATTTTCTCTAGGATTTTACAGTACCTTGTAATTTATCATAGGTATGTGCTTTCCCAAGGATTTACCTGTACGCTGTATTTAATCACAGGTGTGTGTTTTCTCTAGTTTGGTTTTTCCATCTTTAAATTCTGAATCAGATTTAGTTTTCTTGACGTTTGTGTTGAATATCTTATAAAATTCTCAAGGAATATTTAACTCATGGTGCCTACACCTTATCTGTAACACATAGCCATGGGGTCAATTTTCTACAGGAATAGCTTATTACCAGGCATGGGGTTATTGCTACAGAGCTAGGTTTAATTTCATTTGAGAAAAACAATATTATAAAGTGATAGCAATGCAATAAAAAAAATACATTTTTGAAGAAAGGAATCTATATCTAATTAATCAATCTTAATTGAGATATTGGATAAAGAGAATAGTGAAAGTAGAGACAAAATATTGTTTATGTTTTGCTTACTTCAGCAATGTCACGACTTGTTTTTTTGTAAGATTTTTCACGTTCTTTACGAAGTTCCTCTCTGAGGTTCTCCATTCTCTCCTCAAATAGACGCAACTCCATCTTCCAATCTTCTTCCTTTTTGTTTCTAAAGACAAAACATATCCAATCAGATTACATCACTGATCTCATTAAACAAGTTGACTATTCATGTACAAATGATGATGGTTCTTAATATTTGAAGTTCTAGCTCAATTTTTATTTACTACTGGACTCCATATCAAATATTCATTGCATACACACTGTACAAAAATTGGTACAAGTATTTTTATTAAAATTTTAATTTTCACTGAAATATCCCCACCAAATATTTGCATAGCCAACACAGTCTCCTTGAAGTTTTTGTATAAATCTTTCTTTTGTTCATTTTTGCCCTCGTTTTATTGATTATGATGATGTTGACATATTAGTATTTTCTTGTTGTTTTTTCTAAACAGAACTTACTTGCTTATCTTCAGCTGGGCTATCTGTGTATCTTTCTTGCCAAGCTGTACTTGTAGGTCCTCAACGACCGTCTGTAGTTGAGAATGGGAAGACATCACTGCCTCCAGCGTGTTACCGATTTCCTTGTTCACTGTCTTAGCATCCTGTAGGTTTTTCTGAAGACCTTCCACCTGCAAGAAATTACAACCCAGTGAATACTTTACCAGTTATACACTAGCTCTTCTTTCTGTGACTGAAGCGATAATTCTGTATAATAAAGGGGATCTGGACTTGAATCCTTGGACAGTGAACTTTCTGGTTCAAACTTCAATTAGAATCATGCAAGAATGACATTCAAAACTATCTATAGAAAGGATTCTTGAAAATATTTCACTTTAGGAGTAATGATTATCAGCTTTAAATCATAGAACAGCTAGTTTACAAGTTAATTTATAGGCCTACCTTTGGTTTGTCCCTCTGATCGAGGTCATGAAGCTGGTTCAGAAGGCGTTCTTTCTCACGAATAGCTTGGTCCTTCGCTACACGCAGCTCGAGGAAATCACGTTCACGTGACTCTAGACTTCCTTGTGACATCATCAGTTGACTCTCTTGTGCATGGACACGTACCTTTAACTCGCTTATCTCTTTCTGCGCCTGCAATCATAAGTGCAACATAAATATCTCATTCTAAACCAAGACTTTGGTTACTGTACCTTATCTCATTCTAAACCAAGACTTTGGTTACCGTACCTTATCTCATTCTAAACCAAGACTTTGGTTACCGTACCTTATCTCATTCTAAACCAAGACTTTGATTATAGTACCTTATCTCATTCTAAACCAAGACTTTGGTTACCGTACCTTATCTCATTCTAAACCAAGACTTTGATTATAGTACCTTATCTCATTCTAAACCAAGACTTTGGTTACCGTACCTTATCTCATTCTAAACCAAGACTTTGGTTACCGTACCTTATCTCATTCTAAACCAAGACTTTGGTTACCGTACCTTATCTCATTCTAAGCCAAGACTTTGATTATAGTACCTTATCTCATTCTAAGCCAAGATTTCGGTTACTGTACATTATCTTATTCTAAGCCAAGACTTTGATTATAGTACCTAATCTCATTCTACACCAAGACTTTGGTTACTGTACCTTATCCCATTTTTTCTGGAGATCCTGACTTTGTTTGCGATATTGAGAGACTTCAGTGTGTGAGCCTGTCAGGACGTCCAACTGTGCGGTCAACTGTGACACTTGAGACTGAAGGCGACCATTTTCATATGCTAATTTATTTTTCTGTTCCATCATGTCCTTCATGGTATCCTCGATCTTAGTGTTAGCAACCTGAAACAAGGGAAAGTATAGATATGTTTGATTTACTGTATATGGGGAGACAGAGAGAGAGGGAGATTGTGTGTGTTAGAGAGAGAGAGAAAGAGAGAGACAGAGAGAGAGAAAATGAAATGTTTCCCATCTTCTCTCTAAGGTAAAGGATGATCAGATAGCACTGTAATTAACAAACACACCATTTACCATCTCCTTCATGATTAAAGATTTGATCCCCAAATAACAAGAACACAGTTACAGGGGCACTTGTCTGACCACATGACCAACATTTTTCTCTGGTGTCATGCATAAAAAGTATTCCCCCATCTCTTGCATGAAATGTACCCCCTATCGAAAATCATTTTCAAATTCAGGTACCCTGACAAGTTACAATTTGGCCTCAATATAACAAGGAAATGTTTATCCAATTCAACACTTAAATCCCTTGCCCCCCCCCCCCGACTTACTTATAATCAAGGACATACATACACATACCCAATATCCCTCCCTTCCAATCTTATGTCTGTTACTCACCAACCCGATACTTTTTATTCCCCTGTCTAAAATGTCCCCCTGGTATAATAACAATTTCCAGAAGACAAGAGATGATGAAACACCAACTGCCTCACAATTCAATTACCTTTTGTGTTTCGTAGCCAGCAATTCGCTCCAGTAATGTTGTGTTTTCTAGCTCCAGCTGTCGTTTTGTGCGGGCTGTGGCCTCTAGTTCCATCTTTGCCTGTTGAACATCTCCCTGAAGTTTTGACCTTTCTTCCACCATTCCATCAACTGTTTGATTTACCTGTATATATCACAAAGTTACCTATATATTTACCAGTATATATCACAAAGTTACCTATATATTTACCTGTATATATCACAAAGTTACCTGTATATTTACCTGTATATATCACAAAGTTACCTGTATATTTACCTGTATATATCACAAAGTTACCTGTATATTTACCTGTATATATCACAAAGTTACCTGTATATTTACCTGTATATATCTTTAAGTTACCTGTATATTTACCTGTATATATCACAATGTTACCTGTATATTTACCTGTATATATCACAAAGTTACCTGTATATACCTGTGTATTACTTGTATATATCAGAAATTGTTAAATTAACCTGTACATATCACAAACAGTTCTATTTTTCTTTATATAATTTACCAGTATTTATCTTAAACAATTTGATCAACTGTATATATCATAAATCAATACCAGACTATGAATAATCACTCAAATTGCCAAAAAATCATGCCATTTCATCATGATATATTGCATATTTTCTACTATCACATTCCATAATAAACTCAATTTAGGTTTAAATACTGATATTTATGGTAACTGCCATTCTATAAATTTATTACTTGTAACAAATTCTACTATACTGTTTATCAAGGCTAAAATTGAATTCAGAATCCTCCTCCCCCCATCCCCATATTTTTTTGTAATGGCTCATCTATGAAGTCGTCCCCCTGTCCTGGATTTCTTCGAATGAAAATTTATCATAAACCTGTGATTGTTTAAGGGTGCACTTCCCCACCTGTACAAGCTCATAGTAAAGCTAATTCATTTGAACTCGGCATGTCGGTCTGCTACCTTTAAATGAAAAGTTTATCTTTAAATAATCTCAAATCATCAGATGAAATATAAAGAATTGTTTTTTATTCTCCTCTTCTATAAATAGATTACTTGTTTTCAATCTTATAATCAAGAGCAGCAATCCCCCATTTCTATATATAAAGTTACCTCCTCTAGGAGATTTTCTTTGTCCTTGGTTGCACGGTTTTTCTCCTTCTGTAAGACCTCGAGTTGGAGCTGCAGAGAATTTAGTTCCTTCTGAAGTCTGTCTGCTGCATCAGTGTACTCTTCATCTCTTGCTTTAGTCGTCTTTGTCATGGACGCTAACTCCTTCTCCAGGGCCACACTACACAAACAAGAGTATCAGTGAACCTGATGAATGCTTCCTAGAAACAACTTCATTGCATACAAAATTTAATCAAAGGGCAATAATTTTGTAATTACCAAGTTGGAGGCTCTGAATTTGGTATACTGCACATTTTCTCAATATGACCAATGTATAAACAAGTTTCAATAATTCCAATATTATGCAAATGAGAGTTATGGTTCTTGTACACTGCACTTCTCCTTATCGGGATCTATCTACCGATGAAGTTTCATGTTGATACCTCTTGTAGTTTTTTTGATATGCTCAGACAAAATTATGACAGACAGACAGACGGACAGTATACTGCCAACTTTTGATATCAACAGGAAATGTGTCATTTAAATAAATAGGTGATCAGATGGCACAGTGGTAAAACACTTGCCTTTTACCTAGATAACAAGATTGAATTCTTATCTGGACATGACATATACAATTTCCATGGGAACTCGACTTTCCTCTAGCAGTAAGACCCCTATGTGCTTTAATCAAGACTAAAAAAAGTGGTAGCATGCTTTAAAATTGTTGTGAAACAAATCAAGTTTATGCTTTGTCAAGTCATGTATCCAATTCATAAGAAAGAGAATACTGATGCCTTCAATAAAACTCTTTGGTAGAATCTTTAGTCTGAATATCCACATATCTAATAAAAGCTATAACAATAAGTCCACTTCTGCCAGTCAAACAAAGGGCCATAACTCTGTAAACAGTATAGATATAAGTCCTTGTTTTAATATAGAATCCCTTAGACTTCCCATTCTTGAAGTATATACCAACAGGACCCTTGAATGGACAGGGATTACAGTGCATAAAAATAGATATTTATAATTAACAACTTATTTCAAACTCTGAGTCACTTCCTGGTGCTTTGGAGATTTCACAAATAAATCAGACAATTAAATATTTGTATATTGTTCTAAACTCACATCTTTTTCTTCTGCGCCTGGTTTTGAGAATCTGATTCATTAAACTTGAGTTTATATTCCAAGGCTTCATCCTCTACAGCTTGCTTCTCAGCCAACCGTGACCGTTCTGCCTGTATGGAGATTAACATTTCATATCAATCAGTAAAGACAATCAAATATATCAACTACGGAGTACAATTTAAATGTCCTGTAATTCTGTGGCGAGGATAAATAAATAGTAACAGGAATCAGAGGAAATCTACACTATGTCTCAGGAAGATGACTGGTAAAGTTAAAAGGAATGTTAGTCAAGTTATTTACATTGTAAATATCTACAGCATTCAGAAATTTATCTTTGTGATGAAAACACTTCAATCTGTATAACACTAAACTTAACAAGCAGAAAAATTGAAGTCACTGTTGGTCACATTTTATGGTTGATAATAAATTTAATAATAGATCCATCAAGCAATATACCGCTTGTTCGAAAGCGACATGGTTGATACACACATTGCCCTAACATTGACGTTTGTCGATGAGACCATGCCTAGAAATAGGACATGTCAAGAAGATGAAAAACGTGTAAACAACCAATCAAAATTACATGATGTATTTCTTTATTAAGGCGTGATTAGCAACAGGCTTCATCACAACACCAATACCATGTTCTGTATACTTCGGGGTATACTATATCTAGGAAGGGGTGGTGGGGGGTGGGGGGGAAGATAATTAAAAATGGTTTTTGACTGAAAAATATTTTAATATGGTACTCAGCTGAAAATGGAATGATAAAATGTAAAATTATGAATGAAATTATTTTACAATGGTAACAGGAGTATAGACAATAGCATTATTATGGGATTTTCTTTGTTTTTTTTATGATAAATGAGAAGTTAATTTGTTTTATGGTTGTTTTTGGTGATGGCCTGAAGATTTTTTGTGTTCTATATTAATTTTTCTATCAACATTGATTTTTTTTTATTATATATGAAAGAAGACAACAAAAATTGTTTTATAATGTTATGTTATTTTCATAATCTTTGAAAATTTCTTCATTTAATAAAATTATGCACAAATAATGATAAAGACATATTTGTTTTTCAATGTGACACACAAAAATATAAAATAAATTCAAATCTTGATTTGAAAAAACATTTAAATTTTTTTTCTTTAAAAAAAATAAACATATTTTGATGGACAGTTTCAGTTCTGAAACACTTCGATTCAAAGTCATCAAAAATATATCAAGCCAACTGCTTGTGATGACAATGTGTTTTTCTTGTTTATTTGATGTTTCACTTTATTAAAAAATTTACACAAATGTGGGGGGGTGGGGGGTGGGGGGGGGGTGGGGGGTGGGGGGGAGACAACTCTAAATGAACTGACTCATCAAGTGGTGGTATACATGACATATTTGAATTGTATAACTTATATTCAAATTTCAGCTACTCTGGCACTGAAAAGGGCTAAAAAGAAACATGATTATTCAATAGCAATTTAGCAAAATAAAAAAATTTACTGTTTGATACCATCTTCATATCATGAGGTTGTTCTTGTTTTATCAATCATATGGACAGAAGGGACATAACTCTGCAAAGACTTGGAGAAAGATCACCTCATAGTCAAACACAGGATACGTAATTTAAATGGAATTTTTAGACTCTCATGACTTAATTTTAATCAAAAAGAATAAATTGAAATATTTACAATAGAATTTAAAAGTGGGATATTTCTGCATGGAAAACATTACATCATACAATACATGGCAATGTGATAATAAAATATATGGAAAACCTAACATTTTTGTTTTCTAAATGGCTGCAAAATAAAGGTATTGTAACAAAACTTTCACAACAAACACTCAACAAAAAGCTGGTTATAATAAAATTATTCACTAATGAGATAAATACCAGGGAGTTTGAAATATGCACACAAAAATGGTTAGTTGTTCAATTGGAACAAAAAGCTGGAGAGGTTGAAATATGCACACACTCAATAGCTAGGATGAATACAATTCAAAAAGAGAAGCTGGGAACGTAGAAATATGCATAACAATTAACAGCTAGGGTGAATACAATTCAAGAAGAGAAGAAGGGAAGGCAGAAATATGCACACAATCAACAGCTAGGGTGAATATGATTTAATAAGAGAAAATTAATACATCTGTGGAGACTGAAGTATTCACACAAATTCACACCTACAGTGAACAGAATTCAGTGAGAAAAAATCAAAACATCTGGGGTGGTTGAAATATTCAAACAATCAGCAGTACACATGAACTGTCACACTTTGAAAGGAAAGGGTGCTAGGGAGGTTGAAAAATGAACACATTCAGCTAGAGTGCTATTTCAGAGATATGCTGGAGATAGTCAGATCTTCTACCGACACTCACATCAAGTTCCTTGGCATGCATACTTCGCAGCCTATCTTTTTCCTCCTGGTGCGTCCGTACTATGGTATTGAGATGTTCTGTTTTCTCTGTAAGTTCTTTATTCCCAATCTGTTAGAAAAACCATCACACATGCACAAGTAACAGCAGATTGTTAGTGATGTCAAAAGCTTCATACCCAAACAAAACAGTAATTGTGAAACAATGCTGGTTAATGTTGCTTTCCTTATCTTGTTTTAGTGTGATTGTCCGCAGCAAACAACAACACGTTTTTATCAGTGGTTCAATTAAATAACCTTAGATAAACTTGAAAAATATTCTTAATTTGGAAAAGTGATGTTTCTATTTCCATATTTTGATTTTTTTTATTTTTAAATGTATCCACCAAGTTTCATTAGCCTAGTTTAAATGCAAGCAAGTTGTGATCTTGATACAAACTTTTAACACAGGGCATTAACTCTGTAATTGAGGGTTGAGGGTCCTGAATTAGGTACACTACACATCCCTTTAGTATGACCAAGTTTCAAGATCCTTGCTGAACTGTGGGCAAAGTTATGATCTGGACACAAAAGACAGATGGAAAGACAGACAGACTTATGGATAAGGCAGCAGCTATATGCTTCCCTGAAAAGTTTTGGGGAGAATAATAACAAATTATGTAAATTTTTGAAGCTATTAAAATATAATATCAAAATTATAGCCAATAGAACTGTTTATTCAGCATTACAAATACGACACCTGACAGAAAAGGGTAGTGGTAGAAATGTCTTCTCTCCATCTTTTTTTCAAAGATGGGATATAAAAAAGTGAATTATTAGGTTAGATACGATATGTACTTTTAAAAGTGCTGTGACCCTGAGTACCAATTACTGATTATAAACCTATAAAATATGATATCAAGAGACATTTAAACTAATTCAAGTGTTTCAGTCAACAGTTTTGTATAGCGTATATATTAAATACAAAAAATGTTTACTGTCCCTTCAACCTTTGTAACCCAAATCTGTAAAAAAGATAATGTTATGCCCTACCACTTCACCTTTAAATGTTTTCACTTGACATAATTAAGAAATAAATGTTTTGTGTATAAACTGATAAATTGTTAAACGATTTCATCTAATAGGACACTTAATATATTGATCATTGAGATGTATTGAATAACTGACCAATTCCAACAAAGGAATACGGCCATTAGTTTCTGATAATCTAACACTTCAGTTCTCAAACAGATCATATTAAGAGCCTCCAAGAGGAGAAGGTGTCTTTTCACACAAAAGATGTTTTCATCAGACCAGTCGTTGACCGTCAATAAGAGTGACTACATGTACTTTTAAATCTTTTAAAAGGTTTGCTGTACTTTTAGATCAAATTGACCTAAAATCTACATGGACTGTAAAACTTGTACCAAAATCTGTGGGGGCGGTAAAACTTTGCTTAAATTTGATTGGTCAGTAAAACTTATACTAAAAACAGCTGGATCAGTAAAATTTATACTAAAATTTAACTTAAAAATTTATGTGATAATAAATTATTATCAGTTATTTTTTCCTATTAATTTTTTTATCTTCTTAAATCAACAAATGCATTCTTTTCTCTGTTTCTTGGTTTTAACATACACTGATTTTTTAACAAGCGGAGTTAAATGTATAGGGGTAACTTTAACAGCAGTACAATGTACTAATATTAGATAAAGGCATGAATCTCAAACACACTCAAACTATACAAACGCCAGTAAATTATCGACATTACATAAAGCTTTGGTTAGTCTATCTCTGTACTCTATTGTATTTCTGGTTAGTCTGTCTCCGAACTGTCGTACTTTGGTTAGTCTGTCTCCCTACCCCACTGTACTTTTGATAGTCTGTCTCTGTACCCCACTGTGCTGTTGTTAGTCTGTCTCCGTACCCTACTGTACTTTTGTTAGTCTGTCTCCGTACCCCACTGTACTTTTGTTAGTCTGTCTCTGTACCCCACTGTACTTTTGTTAGTCTGTCTCCGTACCCCACTGTACTTTTGTTAGTCTGTCTCCGTACCCTACTGTACTTTTGTTAGTCTGTCTCCGTACCCCACTGTACTTTTGTTAGTCTGTCTCTGTACCTCACTGTACTGTTGTTAGTCTGTCTCGGTACCCTATTGTACTTTGGTCAGTCGGTGTCTGTGCCCTATGGTACTTTTGTTAGCCTGTCTCCGTACCCCACTGTACTTTTGTTAGTCTGTCTCTGTATCCCACTGTACTTTTGTTAGCCTGTCTCCGTACCCCACTGTACTTTTGTTAGTCTGTCTCCGTACCCTACTGTACTTTTGTTAGTCTGTCTCCGTACCCCACTGTACTTTTGTTAGTCTGTCTCTGTATCCCACTGTACTTTTGTTAGTCTGTCTCTGTACCTCACTGTACTGTTGTTAGTCTACCTTCGTACTATATATGATGTTACTTACCTTGATCTGACTAAAGTGATTACCTATAGTAATCTTATCTATCAGAAGCATTTCCTAAGAAATTATAAAATTACTGTAATATGGAGTACAGACTATTATTAAACACTACCTTTACATAAAAATGTTCTTCATTCTCATAAAAACTTGGTTGTAGGGTTAGATTACCAAACCTTTAATGAACAGGATCAAATATGTGGATACATTTTAATGGAACACCTTAATTTTCACTGTTATTTGTTTTTGTCTTAATATACCCTATTCAACACATCAGATCAGAACTGTTTATGACAGATATGGTACATTTTGTAATTAAGGGTGTCAGTTCTTTTAAAGTTGTAATTACTAGTAATAATTATTAGTATTCTTCTGTTGCTGTGATAACAGATTTACTTTAACAGACTCAAAAACCTCCTTGATTGAGCATAATGTTGAGTACCAAAACTGACCAGAATGTTGTCAAAATGTTCAGTACCAAAACTGACCAGAATGTTGTCAAAATGTTCAGTACCAAAACTGACCAGAATGTTGTCAAGATGATGAATACCAACACTGGGCAGGATGTTGTGTTAGAAGACTGTAAATGGCACTTATAAGAAAATGGGTGCTTAATACAGAAACAAAAATGATCATACTTATAATGCATTTTTCTCTGTTTTAAAATCTTTTCAGGGGTATCTAAATCAAAGGTGGTGACACCCTCTCAAGCACAAAAGTTTTATTGTCAAGTACTTGGTAGCATATACCTATACGATCGATAACGTCTTTAAACTTTGTTAAGATTACACTACCTGTAATACTGACACCAGAATGACTCTGTAAACTGAAGTACCATTTATCTAAAGAATGTGTCCAAATAAATTTATAGGTTTAAATGAATTTATAATTTAAAACGGAGTAGAATACTTATATCTATAAAGGAAAATGGGGTTGGGAGGTGGTTCTTAATATTAAAATCTGGATAGTTTTGTCTCAACAAAAGAAATTCTAGATTTATAACAAAAAAGCTCTTCAGTTATAAACATGCATTTAGCCAAGTTCAATAATTATCAGTAAATATTAAAAAAATTCAAAATTGAATTCCTAAGCGAAACATGCAAGCAAATTGAAAAGTCATTTAATTTGAAGAACATCGTGCTGTTGATAAATAATGTACAAAACTCTGACACCAACCTTCTGTTGGTCAACGATGACTTGGGTTTGCTCCAACTGTTTGATAAGATCCTCATACTGAGTCCGTAGTCGACTTAATTCCGTCACAAGTAACTGTCGGTCTGATTCGGCTGAACTGTGTGACTTTTTCATACGCTCTAAAAATATCATTAGATTTAGATTAGAAAAAATATTTCAATTCAGCAGGTAGTATTTGTAGTTTTTTAAAAAATATTTACACATGTTTTGTTGTTTTTATAAGAAAAGGAAAAATCTTACTTTTTACACACTAAAACCTCTATGAACAAGGCATTTGAAATGAAACAAATCCCTTTGCTACCATTTATGATTAGTTGTCTTGAATTGAAAATTTTTCATAAATAGTAATGATGACCTTACATTTGACCCAAGCATGCTGAAACATGAACTTATTCAAGGTATTATGATACATGACCATTATGTAAAGTTTGATTAATATTAGTTGAGAAATGAAGTTGCCAGAGTGATGACAATAAATGAACATATGTATGTATGTATGACCGAATGCTATATCCCCTCTGTGTCGCCGAGAGGAGGTATATTTTGAAAATATGTGCATTCCTGACAGAATAGTTTAGACACACTAGGTTTACCTAATTCTTCCATTGTCTGAACGAATCCTGTCTCCGCCATTTCTGATCGATTCTGTTCTTGGCGTAATTCTTCACGGACTCGTAGCGCATCATTGCGTAGATTTGTACAGTCAGCTGTTAAAGATTTCACCTGAAACAGATGTTAAAGTAAAATACTAAAGGCCAAATCTTTTCATATTTACTCAGATATAAGACAGTTGAACCACTGAAATAAAAACACATGTAGCCGACGAAATCCAAATAATAACTGATCGTAATTGTACCCAGTGTATAAATTTCTGTACCTGTCTGTACCCAGTGTATCAATTTCTGTGCCTGTCTGTACCCAGTGTATCAATTTCTGTACCTTTCTGTACCCAGTATATCAATTTCTGTACCTGTCTGTACCCAGTGTATCAATTTCTGTACCTTTCTGTACCCAGTGTATAAATTTCTGTACCTGTCTGTACCCAGTGTACCAGTTTCTATACCTGTCTGTACCCAGTGTATCAATTTCTGTACCTGTCTGTACCCAGTGTACCAATTTCTATACCTGTCTGTACCCAGTATATCAATTTCTATACCTGTCTGCACCCAGTGTATCAATTTCTGTACCTTTCTGTACCCAGTGTATCAATGTCTGTACCTTTCTGTACCCAGTGTATCAATTTCTATACCTGTCTGAACCCAGTATATCAATTTCTGTACCTTTCTGTACCCAGTGCACCAATTTTTGTTTCCAATGATGTGACCAATAACCTCTAGAACCTCTAACATAGGCTATTTTACTGTTTATCAACATTCATATCTAATTTGTATTTGTAAATTTTTGTATGTTTAAAACAAATTTGAAAAAGTTGTGTGACTTGTCACAAATTTAGAAGTTTCCTAATCTACAATAACAATATGGTTGTCCTATTTTTCTAAAATTTGTTTTCTAAGTTCGCTTCACGTCTAAGTCGGCACAGGTGCACTGAAAATCTCAATACAGAACCCGCCTGGATTAAATCAATTTGATAAGTTAAAGCTTTGTTCTCCTTAAGGCTAAAATTTGATGACTTTTATTTTAAGCTTTTTAAAGATCACATTAAAATGTATGTTATACACCATACCTAGATAATGTAGTACTATTGTGACAATGTGTTAAGTATACAATATAACTTACATGCTGTAAATTTATTAACACAAACATCTGACAGCTATGATGAACAAGTATAGCAAAAATACAAAAAAAATTGTTAAAGGATGTTTGACAATTATTACGATCTACACTTGAATAAAGCCTTTTCTAGTAAGTGTCGTCTCTGAGCTACACAAGTGCCGACTTGATATGACAAAAGCGGAGCTCTCGACTTGAACAAATATTGGACCATTAAAGGCTTACTATAGTAATCCATGAGATTAAGCTTCACACTGGAGGATTCTCAGTCACAATACAATCCAGGGGTCAGAGGTCAGCACGTTCATTTAAGATATGAAAATATTTTTGCAACCCATAGAATAAGTCAACACGTTACCGCATTTTCCAAGTTTTAGGATTTCTTCAATTTGTCATTCTTTAGATCTGTGTGTCAAAGTATTATCTTGTGTTATTGTCGACGGTTGTTGAAATGAAAAAAATAATTCTGAAAGCCATTATTTGTTCAATAGAAAGACAAACTCGTTACCCTATTTACCAGTTTGTCTTTGGTGTTAAAGGTTATCTCCAGTTTATTTTAGAATGAAAACATTTTTGTAAGTCATTTCCATCAAAATCAACTAAGTAAATAAGTTAAAGAATTTGTAAGTTGAATTGAAACTGATTTTTAAAGTGACATATTGATTGTTATTGACTGTTCTAATGTAAATACATGTGTTGTATTGAGTCTGTTCCTTAATTAAGAAATCACTCACTGCAGTGGTCTAAAATAGACACTAAAATTTATTTTAAGTATACACTGGCACTCATTACAACTGTTACTGACATTATTACAATTTGTTTTATGAAACAAAAATAACGAATAAGTTTTTTTAAAAATGTACAACTGCTTTATATGTATTTATATCCTAAATAAATATTAATTTTCTGAAACATTCTAAGAATTCTGCAGAAAGATAATAAGGAATTCAAACCATTCCATTGTTTACAATTCAAAACAATTAACAGACCTGGGCTTCCTGTAAAATATCTTTTTCTTCACCATCATTTTTTCCCCTTTTTGTATTTGACATATAAGCAAATTTCTCTTAAACAGCTTTGTCAGTAGACCATCATATTCTGTAACACCATGTGAAGGTCTTCAGCGTGTAGTGAGACACTCCCTAAAGCATCAGAGATTGAAACACCATGTGAATATCTTCAGTGTGTAGTGTGATGCTCCCTACCTGGGGCACTTTGTTTCTCAGAAAGCTGAGAAATGGACAAGTCTGTGCTGACATGGTTGTGTCTTTTGGTAAGACTCTTTACCTGAATTGCTGTGAATGTCAAGCCCCTAACCTCCCGTATGTTGTTCAGTAAGGTTGTCACCACCTACCACAATGAGACCTAGTCTCAAAATGACCCTGGCTGTTCATAAGGCGGCGCAATAAAGATCTCTAATATTTCCTTTTTTTATTGTAAGATTAAGCGGGTCTGCTAACTGTGAACTTTTCTATACTGCATTTCACTGAATTTTCCCATTCATTGTGTAAATCATGCCCAAGTTTATATAAACACCAAGACAATGATTAAACATTAATTCCTCTGTCTGCAGTGTCGCAGGCTGGCTGTTAAAATACGCAGAAAAAGAATTTAGCTATAGTAAGTAATGTGTATCCAGTTATCAGCCTACCCATTACCCCACAAGCTGACATCCTCACTTAGTGATCACATAGTCAGGTTGTGCAGTAGTTACACAATTGTCTTTCACCTATCTAGCTGTCTTCGTTTTGATTCCCCAAACAGACATGAAAAGGGAGGATGTCCCTCGCCAAACCATGTTGGTTTTTTCCCAGGTACTCTGGTTTCCTCTGACAGTAAGACTTTTCATGGCCTTAAATCCAAACCAGCAAGAAGAAATGAATAAAATAAGCTAATAGCTTGTTTTACATTTGTTGTAAAATAACAAATTTTTTATGAATCTATTCAGATCCAGAAGTTTTGAGTGAGTTGACCCCTGGATTACAGCCTAAAGAGTAATTACCACTTCACAACATGGTTATTTTAATAGAGGTCAATATCTATTTCACTGCCTCTGCTAGGATTCCAACCCAGGACCTCTGGTTTACTTGTCTGATGCCCAACCGATTGAGCTAAAGAGAAGTTCTCTCTAGCCGAGTAAAAGTATTTTGTGGCCATTATGTACCAGGGTTACATAATGGAAGACTAGAACAAGACAATTCACAAAGCAACTTGTAAATTCTAAAACGTTTAATCATCAAATTCTAAATCATGAGCCATAATTTTGATACTTAAACTGAACTACTGCTTATTTTTGTTTTTATTCTGAAATCACTTGCTAGATATTTCAACTAGCTTTTCTTAAACCACTTTGATATGTACAAGTTATAAATGAACATGTACATAATATTTGCCCCATTACTAAATCTTATATTATTACCATTTGAATCAATTTTTATCGAGCTGATCAAGTTGAATTGACAACCCTACAAGGGGTATTTAAGAAATTTAAATGGGCTGAACCACGGATGAGTAGCGCTAATACCACTTGTATGACAGTCTTATCACACGCAGGTCTAATAGAGCTAACCCAGCGATCCAAACAGCAAACTCTAAACAAGATCAACTTCTGTAAACTCCGACAAACACTGGTATCAAAATGGCAGACCCCCTCCAGATCCCCACCTCTGTACAGTAGTAGATGCCTGATTTAATACAGATATGTATGGAAATTAGAATTTTATATGTAGAAAGATGAATTTAACACTTGATTAATGGTTTTATAAGAAAAGCAGAATGATATGATCCAATATTATATATGTTGCACTATTTTATTACAACATCATCCGAACTAAGGCAATACATAAGGATTTTCTTTCAATCATGAAGGAAAAAGTCAGGAATGATTGATTTTTTCTGTGTTGAAAAGGCACCATTATGTGATTTAAAATAAACTGAAGGCATGGTATATTATTTCAAAAACTTTCAAGTGACAAATTATCCATCATGATATCAAATACAATGTCATTTGTACAAAGAGCACATCAGAAAGTCTAGATATTAGGTATACAGCATATAAAGGACTTTCTTTCATTCTAACATTAAATCATAAAGTTGAGAAGAAATTATACATTTCTCATTTTGAAAAGGAACGAGTATGTGGTGGGTTTTTATATCAGAAAAAAGGATGGCAGAAATGTAAAACATCAATCATAGCTTTAAATTATACCATGAATGTTTGCATTTAAATCTGCCTTTAAATCGCATTGTAAAGAATTCCTTATGTCAAGTTTTACTGTTGTGTACTTTGGTGTCTTTACTATAGTGGGACATCAGACTTTTGGCCTAAAATTTAGGTAATTTATCAGTAAATCTTCAATATTTTTCAAAGTCCTAACAATCTATTACAATCAGCCCCACAAAAACAATAGCTTTATCTATATGTTTTAATGCATTGATTTATCAAAAGGAGGTCTATACAAGGGAGTTCAACCTTACTCTTATACATCATCACAAAAAAAACTGATGGACAGTTGACGTTTTGTAGCACTGTCGTCAGTGAACTTGAACATATTGATAATATTCAGCATCAAAGATTCTTTCTGATATGCTATGTATCTGGGTATTTCAACACGTCAGATTTTGTCTAGGTATAGGCAGCAAAATGCTCCATGTGTTAATAGGTATTTCAGTATTCAAAACCAGTTGTGTCAACAATATTGGTATTAATTTGATATCCAGAGTTAAGGTCTGGAGGAAAAATGACCTGTAATGGAAACCAAATTTACCTTGAAAAATTTCCTGAAGTTTTATAATTATCATGCCAATGGCATTTTGACTTAAGTTTACACACATTTTTGTCCACCCTTCCTAAGTAGGAATATAATCATAGACATGATTCTTGATTCTGCATTTCTAACTAGATACATGTACCCAGACCTGTATCCTCACATACAAAAAACCTGACAACAAATTAAATTGTGCTGTCCTCCTCCCTCTCAAGATAAAGTATATATACATATTAAGTAAATAGTTTGATGATAATGAGAAAATTCTCACCTCTTTCCGTTCAGATTCCACCATACTCTCCATCTCTCGCACTCGTCCCAGTAAGGTATTATGAGATTCCTCCAGGCTGCAGCGAATACTCTTCTCTCTCTCCAACTCCTCTCTAACTTCTGACAGCTTTTTTTCCATCTTCTGTTTGCCTGTCACCATCTCTTCTGCTGATACTGCTGCCTCTGCCTAAACACAAACACGACAATAAATTAGTGAGCTGACAATAAGATGAACTCACCTGTTTACTCTCTCTATTAATATTGTTTGGTGCTCTTTTTCAAATTGTGCGATAAAACAATATAATCTTGGCCACTTAGTTTATGTACTTTTCGTTCTATGTAAAGTAAATTCAGATTTGTTACAGTAGTCTACAACTATCTCAGTAGTCTCTAATGCATTGACAGTTAGCTGTCATGATCTGGTGCAATAAAATCACAGTGAACATGGGTTCCAGATGCACACAGCAGTGAATATCACATCCATTCATTTGAAATGTTTCCAACGAGTAACATGTTATTTTTTTCCTGTGGGAAACATTTGTGTCCTTTCATGGTAAATGAAATCCCTACAGACCTTAATCCAACATATGTTAATTGTTGAACATGGAAGTGATGTAAAATAAAGGTTCGTTTTCATTTTTTACTTCATCACTTGCTTTAGATGTTCAAGATTTCCATAATTTTGGCATCTAGCATATATCCTCGGTGGTAAGGCCAAAAAGAATTATCACTATAGCTGTCGAGGAAAATGTCACCTTCTAGGGTTAATAAATCCTTCTGTAAACCTGAAAACAGGTCAGTAGTTGTTCTATTACATGATGACAATCTAATTGGTCAAAAATCGCAGCACAGGAAATTGGATTGTTATAATCACATGCGAGATGTCAAATATGATTTCAGACTATTATAGCTCACCGATTGTGGCGGTTTCATTGTAACATCGCAATTTATTTAGACCTCAAGATGTTTTGACCATTCAGAAAAATTGATAGTCATGTAATATAAATTTCAATACAGATAGATCTACAATTATTTTTCATTATCAAAACCATATACATCAAAATCAAGATGTTAATTGAATAGACGTTCTTATTACATAACCTGTAGAAGATTAGAGTGTGACATTTCAATGACTTCAAGGTCACCTTCTTAAGACAAATGACCAGTGTGGATCATACTAGCACTGATAAACATGAGATGTGAGATGGTAATTAATCACCCAACATTTTCAGCTGTACTAAAATCCTACTTACACTTAAGTCGAAAATAGTATGACGTGATGTCAATTTACTTGTCTAATAACCCCAGATTTATTACCCTGTTTTTATGCTAACTCTTAATAAGTTTGGTATAATCTATTATGATAAAACTGATCTTTAATAAAAATGATAAAAAGTTTTCACAAGTACTCAGCTCAGTCCATCAAATTTTATAAGAAAGTATCAAGACATAGCTCAGGTATCAAACAGGTTTAAGGCCAAACAAACAATATATTCATATTTGTCCTCCCATTGCTATACTACCAGTATATATTTAAAGTGCATGCACAGGAAAGCAGTTGATAATGAATCTGGATTATAGGAAAAAAGAAGCTGGCAGGAAAACAAAATAAAAACAAAATTTTGATCTATCATGTAGTCAGACTGGATTCTGACACCAGAAACTGTTAATTTAACACATTCAATATATACATTTTTAAACAGGAGTTGTTGTAGAAAAATCAAATTAAACTATTTATGCTGACTTGACAGAATTTGGAAATAAAACCAGGGATTTTTTTTACTGAAATTTTCATATTTTTTTTTTAGATTTATTCAATAAATGAATTCGGAAACATGTGCAATTTATCATTGTAAATAACAGGTAAAGCAGAAACAGACTTTGGTAAGTAACAGAACAAAAGTGTGGACATAATGTACATATCAAAATCTCACACTTTGATACAGGTATATCCAACTGATCATACCTGATGAAATAGACCTGTTGATGAGGTGTTCATGACAGCAAACATGTTTACATATATTTCAAAAGTGGTTAAGGGCAACCTTTGACCTTTAACCTTGACCAATGACCATCAAAATCTGATCTTATGCAGAATTTGATGTTGTGATGTTATGGTGTGAACTTGAACTAAATCTGTCCAACAGTTCATATATTTTGTATGCAATCTTTGTACAAATCGACAAGAAAATATAGTGATTACTAACTTCTTCTTTTCCCTCCCTCTTTATTATAAGTGAGGTTATAATAAGTTGAACAGTCAGCGAAGTTAATACCAGTTAATTAGGAATTCCTTTAAAAAACGATGACCAGATGGTCCCTATTTTAAAATTTATTATTCATGAATAATTTTTTTTAAAATAAATCATTCCTTTGATCAATAAAATCATATTTCAATCAATCATAATTGCATAAACATACCCTAGTAGCGGTTGCTTCCTCTAACGCGAGTCGTAGTTCTTTCACTTCCTCTTGTGCTCTGCTTTTGGAGTCAGATTCCTGCTTAAGTTCTTCCTGTAAGTCCTCTGTTTCTCGACGGAATTTTCCAAGTTCATTTTCACACGCCTCTTTCAATAACTGATATTTATCCTCTGTCTCGTCGTGTAGTTTGGGAATCAGATCTTGCTGTCCCTGTATGTTAACTAAATTTAACTTTAATGTTTGAATGGCACTTTCTGTTTTGCAAACTCTCGATACCAAAGTTTCATAGCTATCTTGCAAGATATCAACATCTGCAATTCTTGCTTTGTACGGCGCAATTGGTTCCTTCATTTTCATGTCCTGACTATCTATGTCCCTTTCAGCAGGGTGGACATGTTGACCAAAACCCATACCAGACAAATGATCGATCAACTCTCTTGTCTCCACTTCGGCAGCAGAAAGCCTCTCCTCCAAAACATCAATAGTCTGTTGAGATGACACTCCAGGTGGATGTGATAATGGTGGAATCACTGACCGTGACATCGTTTACAGTTTTGATGTCGACGATAACTATTTAATATATATCAACACAGCTCCATATCGAAGTAGTATGTAGAGCAATTTCAATCCATGGCACGTGCCCTCAGGATTTCTTGTCCATCAAGATTTTCCTGTAAGATTAAAAAGAAAAAAATCAAAACAATCTGAAATTGTTCCAAATCTACCAATGAATATTTGCCAAAGGGGAAATAATATATGCCCTGCCACCTACACACACGTCAATATACAATAGGGTTACACCAGCCCACTCTTCACTGGTTCCTAACTTGTATATCCCCAATAACTCCCTTCAAATACTATTGACCCACCTGATTGCCATGATAAGATAAAAAGCTATACACTGAACGATGACTGTTCCGCTCAGGGATGCGATCATGGGGAACCCACAAGAAATAATGTTATTAAATGTCCTGATACATTCAAGATTTGCTAGAGACAAACAAGTTAACAGATAACAAGTACATTGTTTAGTGCATTGTTTACGTAGTAAATATCTTTAAGTGGGAACAATAAACATCCACTGACCCATTGTAAACCTTACTCCCTTAAAACTCAACCGTATATACTGAGGAATGGGTCTTATCAAAAGTGTTCCCCAAGTTTACAATTCAAGTACTAGTAGAAATAATAAACAAGGGTCGGATTGCATGGCTCAGATTGGACGATACATCTACGACGAACACGGTGTTGTAGCTAATTCAATCAAACTGTCTGCAATACGTCATGTTTAGACACGACCATTAATAAACATACAGGTGAAACCCGTGGCCATAATAGCACGAGTTCAGGATTAAAGTTAACACTAGAGATGACAGCTCTACGTCAGGATTGAGTTGCATGACTTTAAGTAAAGCAATTGAAATTGCAAATATAATCTCCAGCAAAGGAGAAGCGTGACATTTTCTGTTAATTTACCATTTTACACAAAATGTGTTAAATGCAAAAATAATTAATCTTAGTGTAACAAAAAGAAGCGATTTGGTTTGAAGATAAAATGCATGATAAGTAAATCCGTGCGACTGACAAAAAAGTAATACCTTCATATCACCGGGTATAATAACAGCTTTCTGGAAAATGTGTAAGGGTCGCTGTCAGTGCGTTCTTCGTGGCCATATTGTAAACAATGCGATTTGATTGGTTGCCGCCGTGTCTCATTCTACAGTGCCTCTTGCCGGGCACATTGGAGTCAAACGCTTAATTGATCATAATTCATTATCTCCCCTTGACCGTATTTGCTGTAATAAAACTGAACAAAAAAGACACGCACGTAAATAACACCTTTCAGTGCAAATTTAGAATTGTACACATTAATTTCACATAATGAGTTAAATTACACCATACCCCATTTAAGTCCTTCTCGTTCTAATGACTTGTCAGTGATGCTATGGACTTAAATTTTGAAACCTGCAGGAGGCGAAAATGAAAACTAAAAATAATGCTTCAGAAATGTCAAAATCTAGATGGGGAGGTTCGCTAGTCCCACGATTCGATAAATTTAGTATGTTTCATAAATCTGCTTATTTCAAAAGAGCGCAATGTACATGTGTATAAATTAAAACGTGCACGTGCATGTACATCGGGTCAATCACCTGCTATTAAGAATATAGACGAGGCACGCAAGTAATTGTCTCCAATCTATATTAAGATAATATGCAACATTCAAGTTCATTTTGAATATCATTTATGAATCAGATACAGAAATATTTGTTCAAAACTAAAAGTGCTTTACAGCGGAGAGAACATTTCAAAAGTAAGTCAACATTTGATTTAAACCCAACACAAACTTCAACAAACACAAAATATTGGCATGGCATTGCCTTAACGAATACTACATCATTCAACGGGCACAGGGCAAAGTACACTTAGTCTAGGTTTAGAAAAATGATACTGAGAAATCAATAATATCTGTGGTAGTTTTATTTTCGTTCATTTTGTTGGTACCCTTCATCAACGAAATCATGTGAGCAGATTTATTCAGCGAAATTTATCCTAGAAATCAAATTGTCTACGAAAACGTGTTTTTAGGACAATGATTTTACAGTGGGTATGACGAATTATTTGGATATGAATACACGTATTTAAGAAAAGAAAATTAAAATCGTGATGTTTCAATTTAGAAAAGCATGTACTTTCACAGGATTTTCCTTGTTAAGATATATGAAAATGTCAATTCGAATTTGTTGGACAAATTTACCTAAATATTCCTCTTTTTTTTTGTTCTCTTTATATTAAGATTGGTTCAAATATTCACTTAATAAAATTTGCTAGATTTTTCAAAAATAGATACGAACTGGTTTTTTTTAGGTCATCTGAGACAAAATCTACATTTGTACGGCGTCGTGTGTCGTGCGTTCCTTATTATTTTTTTTTTTTACATTTTCGGCTTCTTCTGGAAAACCTCTGAATCAATTTCAATAAGAATTTGCAGAAACCTTCCATGCCCTTCTGGTCAAATGTGCTAAAAACAACACAGGAACAGAACTTCAACAGACAGTTGATGAGACCATCACAGTTATAGACAATTATCATAACACTATCTTATTGTCAGCGCTTCTGTTATATATATTGTGGTAGTGAAACTTTCCTATCAGTTAAGACTAAGGCATCATTTCACTAATCATCTGCTATTTATAGATAGTACTACAGTCAATCAAATGAAAATTAATCAAATAAGATTTTTTACGATAAAAATATATTTATGTCTAGTATGTAGGAATACATTGCAGGAACTTTTAATAAGAGTGACATCAGTTGTCAAAAAAATTCTCCTCTTGAGTTTTATCAAGGAGGACAATCCACAGACAACTGGTAAGAAGTATTATCCAGGACTACACTAGAAAGGTGGATCATCTGAGGACTACACTAGAAAGGTGGATCATCTGAGGACTTCACTAGAAAGGTGGATCATCTGAGGACTTCACTAGAAAGGTGGATCATCTGAGGACTACACTAGAAAGGTGGATCATCTGAGGACTTCACTAGAAAGGTGGATCATCTGAGGACTTCACTAGAAAGGTGGATCATCTGAGGACTATACTAGAAAGGTGGATCATCTGAGGTCTACACTAGAAAGGTGGATCATCCAAGGACTACACTAGAAAGGTGAATCATCTGAGGACTTCACTAGAAAGGTGGATCATCTGAGGACTTCACTAGAAAGGTGAATCATCTGAGGACTTCAGTAGAAAGGTGGATCATCTGAGGACTTCACTAGAAAGGTGGATCATCCAAGGACTACACTAGAAAGGTGGATCATCTGAGGACTTCACTAGAAAGGTGGATCATCCAAGGACTACACTAGAAAGGTGAATACCAGGGATTTTCTTTTAAGTAAACAAGGTATATAAAACAACAAAACTGAAACCAGAGACAAAATATATTTTTATGTATAAGTATTCATAATCACACTTGAACAAACCGTCAGAATGCAGGCTATAGTCACAAATAAACAATCATTAATTTAATTCAATAATTATGATAACAACTTGTTTCCTAGATATATAGAGCAACTAATTTTGCATGTCTCAAACATCCTCAATCAGATAAAACAACAATGGTCCCTCACACAATAATGATATGTATACATTATGTTTATGATGATTCAACTATTTCATTCACTCAAAAAATAGCCATTTCATATTAAAAATGATGCAATGGTCAGTTATTTTTTTGCAGTGGAGACTAAAAGTCAAAAACACTATTTAAAAAAAACTTTTAATTAGAAGAAACGCAGCTAAGCTGTAGATTGATTTTAAACTAAGTCATTACAATAATGTTTATTAAATCAATATGATAATAAAAAAGACCTGCAATGCTACATCTCATTACATTGAATCATGGTATTGAATTGAATGATAAAAATTCAAATTTAATTTAAAGACTTAATTCCAACAGACTGAAACTTTTGGTGACTCATGATACCAAAATCAAATGTGTATGTTTTGTTGTGAATTTTGACATCATGGTAAAAACTTTGACACATTTGTGCTTATGGTAAAGTGATGTATACCACACAATGTCTCAAAATTATAACAAATATATTGTTATATCAAGAAGTCCTTCAGTGTTAACAGCAACAAGTAATACATTTTTAAACTCATCCTCCATACCCCAGGGTTACACTTGCTATTACTCTCTGCACAAACTGAAGGGACAAGCAAAGTAATTTGATTGGTCTAGAGCGGGTTTCAGGAGAAATAAAAACTGACCAAACACAGACAGATAAGCTCCTTTGAAGATTAAAACAGAGCGACACCCAACTTCAATGCATGTGCAACATACCATTATACGACCTTGAGATTTGTTTGTTGTACATAAAATAATCAAAACGGTCTTCTTGTCTTATCCACAAAGGTCACACGTCGAACCTACGATTTTGCCATGAAATGTTTCAGGGGTGCAGAGAGCAAAATCACTCCCCTGGAGTATCAAGGATGTTTTAAACATAACCAAACATTTAATGTACCTCAGAAGTAACAAATATTTAACAAATGGAACAATATCACTGATACTTTAGGTAATTACAGATGTAGTATTATGCTCTTTACAGTTGTCAGACTGGAAAATGTAAAGATAATTTTTAAGTTTACAAAAAAAAAGAAAATTTGTGAAATAGGAATAATAACATAACTACAAAGGTCCCAAAAATGTGAATACAATTGGCTTCAGTGAACTAAAATTGTGTGTATACAAAATTTGCCGTCAATTGGAAAATCGCAGAATCTGATGTTATTGATGATTTTCATATTCCACCAAAAATTCTATTAATTTTTCATCCTAGATCTGGAACTCATGCCAACATTCTAAATCATCTTGACCTGTAGTAATCTTACCATATACATCTGTACCAAATAGTTTGTCAAAAGATATTTCTATTTCCCCAAAAAAACTAATTTACATGCAAGTACAATCAACTTCTAATTATGATGTGGACACAAAAATAACACAAAAATGACACCCCCCCCCTCATTCCCAAGCATAAT